TGTTGTGTAGACTTTTTGCTCTATTATAATTTTCTGGAGAACATTGACTTAAAAAAAAAAGGCAGGAATCAACCCAATTAAATACAGACTATGCATTTGAACTCACCTTTGATGAGGTGCTAAGTGCTTAGAAAACTTACTCAGGATCATGTGGCTAGTAAGGGGCAGAATGAGGACTTGAGTTGGGATCTTCTGAAGTCATTTAACTTTTTGCATCTTTCCCATATGTTAATAGGACTGTTCCAATAAAAATATTTAATTGTCATATTTATATGAAACCCTGAAAGCAAACTTAAATAAGTGTTTTTACTTGTTTGTTTTTTGAAGACTTCTTGGAAGAAGCTTTTGTGAATCTCCATAAGGACTATTTGATATGAAATATTCTCCAAACCATCTTCTGATCTGTTCTTTATGGATACTTCTGCTCCACAGAACACACTTGAAAATAGCTGATGTGTGGCATTCATTCCACCAACACTTACAAGAATTTTATAGAATACCCACTGTGCCAAGCCTGGCACTAGGTGCTGGCAGACCAAAGATACTATCACCTAAGACATTTCTGCCATTCAGGAGCCCTTATCTTTCCATGAATTTGAATAATGTTTATATACTCAGTGCTGTTGGGTCATTTTCACTTGTGTTTACTGCCATCCTTCACCTAATCCCTGATATGCTCTCCCTTTCCTCATTGATTGCACACTGCCTAAAATATGCACCCAGGGGCAGAGAGTTGTTGGGACAGCCTGGGGTTAGTCATGACTATGAACTGAATTGTGTTCCCCCAAATTCATATAGTGAAGCCCTAACCCCCACTGTGACTATGTCTAGAGGTAGGACCTTTAAGGAGATGATTAAGGTTAAATGAGGTCATAAGAGGAAAGCCCTAATCCATGGTTACTATGACCTTATAAGGCAAGGGAGAGAGAGCATGCACTCTCTCTGTCATATGAGGACACATCAAAAAGGTGGTTGTCTGTAGAGCAGAGAGTTCTCACCAGAACCTAACTGTGTTGGCATCCTGATCTTAGACTCTCAGCCTCCACAACTGTGAGGAAATAAATGTCTATTGCTCAAGCTCCCACCCTGCAGTATTCTCTTACAGGCTTGACAGACCTAAGACAGTCACCCAACTCAGCAGAGAACACAGAAAGGACTGAATGAAACTTACTTCATAGACACTGAGGGGAGCAGACCAGGTTTTATAGCCACCAAGTGCATTTCTTGCCTGCTTCTCACCCTAGAAGCAGATTCATTCATTGTGAGCTTGTTTCATTAGCTCACCGTCTCTCACATTAAGAACCTTATATAAACTCTTTGCCATTTTTCTAGCTCGTCTTGTGCCATTTTACTTGCTAGACTCAAGAGAGTACTCAGAAATAAGACAAATTTTTGTCCTGACTAGCAGGTAGAACTTCTGTCTCTCTCTCTTTTTTTTTAAATTAAGCCAGCTGAGTCTTCTCCTGCCTTTGTTTACCGTTCATGGTGAAGCAAGATGGAAAAATAAAAGAAATAAGCCCAAAAAATTCCTCCCTAAAATGACAGGAGAAGAGAGTTGGATGGCTTTTTCTGCTGCACACAAATGTGAATCGTCAAGTTCTATAGACCCTTCCTGCCTGAGAAAATGAGTCTGCAGGCTATTCCCTGGCAAAACCATAAGCAACCCAGGGGGTAACAGGGTGAACCTGGTAGGTGTAAAGTCTCTGCCTGCCTGCCTTCTCTTCTTCCCCATCAGAGTTCTCTTCTCTCCCAGAGCAGTGGACCACCATCTCCACCAGCAGACACCTAGGCCTGTTGCCTGTCCCTCAGAATCTTTCTTTTCCTTCCTGGGCTCTCAGTTGGTGGAGGCAGAGCAGTAGCAAAGCTAAGCATAAGTATGTGATGCCTCACCCCTGCAGGCTCCTCTGAGACTAGCTATCATTCATAAGAGCAATCCTCATCTCCAAAGGTGTGGGGCTCTCTGCACAGAGCTTTCATAATTGAAATTATCATAATAATCATGCTAAAAACCACTATTTATTGATCACTTTCTGTTTACCAATCACAGTGCTAAGTACTTGACAAGCACAGATTCATCTGAGTCTTAATTCTATAACATGCACATTATTGTCATTATTTCATGAATGAGGAAAGTGAGGCTTACACAGGGATCCCTAAAGTCAACCAGTCCACTTTGCAATAGTGAGCAGTGGGCGCCCCACAGATGGCCTGGGAACTGATCCCTAAACATAAGGCCTTGGCAAGATTCTGGTGAAGAAATCAAGACAAATTCTTTAGATTCACTTTTACATGCAATTAAAGTCTGTCCCATAATTGTGTTATTAAGAGTAACTACTATTTGGGTTTCCTAAACTAAAATCTGCTCAATACTGGAGTTTATGACACAATCTCATTCAATATTTTACTGAGAGGTAGGTGTCCTGGCGATGCTGTCTTGGTTCTCCTTTCACCGAGAATGTGTGAAGCTGAAAGACCCATAATTTTCACAACTCTCCATTATCAGGTGTCATTGCCTTTGTCTTGAATTGGCAATCAATTTCTATTACTGTTTTCTTGCTCTTGAATGATACCTTACTGTTATTTCAGCTTTTTATATAATCTGTGGTGGGCTCTCCTCTTAACCCTGTGGTGAGTGGTGAGGCACATTGACCTATTTTCACCTGTTATTTTCCAAGAACTTGATTGAAGAAAAGTATGTAACATATTGGGCTAAACCAAATGAAACATTTTTTACCTTAGGTGAAACCATATAAAATGGACTATATTCAATAAATTTTTTTAAGTTTGTTTATTTATTTTGAGAGAGAGACTGTGTGTGCATGAGAGCAGGGAGAGGGATAGAGAGGGAGAGACAGAATCCCAAGCAAGTGCTACACTGTCAGCACACAGCGCAACATGGGGATGAACTTCAACTCATGAACCCACAAACCTTGAGATCATGACCTGAGCTGAGATCAAGTGTTGGATGCTTAACCAACTGAACTACCCAGGCACCCCTCAACAATTTTTCACCTAAAAAATGGCTGTTTCCTATTGTCTAACCTAATAGTTCAAATATAAATTATTTTTACTTCATTTGCTAGACATTTGTATGCATAATTCCCTCTGCATATGCATGTACAGTGACACTTTATAGATGAATTCTGCCTATGAATTTGTATTCTCTAAATAATTTACAACATGTTATTATTATATGTTAACTGTAAGAACATTGCTAAGTTATTTTAAGTTTGTATGGGTTTTTTTTGGGGGGGTATGATCCAAGATCTTGAATGTAAGATCATATTCTTCATGAATTGTTTATTTATTTCCCTCTTTAGTTCTTTATCATCACTTGATTCCTTTTCTACTGTGAAGCAGGAATGGATAGGTCCATATGTCTTGTGGTCTTGAGGTCTTCTGTGCCCTGCTCAAAAAAGTTTGGAAAGCACTACTTCAGTGGTCAAGGAGGTTTTTCAAGTCCCACAGCCAGTAGATATGTATTCAGAATTGAGATTCATGTCAGCTTCCCTCATAAATGAAGGATGTGATACACATTTTGGTCAATGGAATCAGTCACACCCCTATGGCTTCCTGAATAAGAAATCCCAGATTTCCTTGACATATCTTTAGGGAAATTGGGAGGCCAACATTTATTGTGTGGCTACTCTATGCCAGCCATTCTGCTCCTACATTAGTTTGAACCTCATTGAATTCCACAACAAACCCTATGAGATTGGTATCATTGATCTGTACAGATGGAGAAATAGGTCTGCAGGCTTGAATTCTAACTCCATATTGTGGAACTGGTAGGTAGGTGGTGAAAGCAGAAAGCAAACTTTAACACCCATTTAATTGTTCATCAGTCTGGCTTTTCTTTCTCCTGCCCCACATCACCTTCCTCTAACTCTGTATTCGATTCATCACGGAATCCTATTTGTTCTGCCTATAAAATGACTCTGGGATCTATTTCTCCACCATTTTCACTACTAATGGTCTAACCCTGTCCCTCTCATGAACACATGCAGCAGCCTCCTAACCTCCTCCTTGCCTCAGTCCCTATCCATCCCTTCTATGTGGCCTGCAACTCACTCCCCAGTCCTTTACAGAGATCTGATCATGGCCTACCTTTTCAATGGCCCCGAAGTGCTTGCAGAGCATAAAACGTGTCATACTCCAGCTTTCCAGTTTACTTTCCTGACCTCCTCTGCCAACATTCCCTATCCCCAGCCCCTACCCCCACTGACTCCTCCAGACTGCCCACCCCTCCATTCTCTCTAACACCCATGACCTTTCCAGCCTAACTCCTGGGCTTCCGTGCACTTGCTACTCTAAATTAGATAGAGAATAATTTACACACACACACACACACACACACACACACACACACAGTTCTCCACCTGGCACAGTCTGCTTCCTTCAAGGCCCTATTCAAATGTCACTGCCTATGGGAGAGTCATCTCAGACTTTCTCCAGTAGTTCATAGCCCCTCCTCTTTATATCCACAGGATTTTGTACACATTTTTAATTAGACAGTTTCTGTTGAATGATAGCTAGTTGTTGAAATGTCTTATCTATTTTTCTCACTTGATAATGAGCCCCTAAGGGAGAAAGATCATGTCGTATTTATCTTTGGATTGCCAGCATGCAGAAAAGTGCCTGGCACCAGGTCAGCACTCAATAAATGTTCATTAATGTACAAACACCCCCTGTAGTCTCTCCTGCACATAAGAGCGTACTGAGTAGCTCTTCAGTACAGCGGATTGAAAATTGGAGTGGGAAGAGATTGCTGGAATTCTAGTCTGGGATCACCCACCAACTAGATGTGTCACTGGGGACTGAACATTTCGGGGTCTCAGTCCTCTTGCTTGTAAAGTGGGGAGAGGGACACCTGAGTGTACTTTCCAAGGACACCTTTCCAAGGCTAACATCTAATGATGCAAAGGACTTGACAGCTTATCCCTAAAAATATCTCTTTCTTACCAGAAGGAAAAGACTTTAGGTATCTTCTAAGGAGAGTCATGGCACACAACCAGGAGACTCAAGCCAAGACCCCTGTCATCAAGTTCAAGGGCCAAGACTTCAACTTCTTGCAGGATCATTGCCTAAGCAGAGGTCTTCTGTTTGAGGACAAGACCTTCCCTGCAGAGACTTTTTCCATAGGTCTACAGCTGCTCCAGGGAAAAGATCTCTCCAGCCTGAGGTGGAAACGGCCAAAGGTGAGTGAGCCCCTCAGAAACACACCCAGCTTCTGGGCCCTCTCAGCTACCTGCCATAGTACCTCCCACTGAAAGAAGGATAGGCCCATGACCTGTTTTTCAAGGATGGCCCACACCAAACAGGAAGGAGAATGAAATTTATCTGGTCTCTCAAGTATGATGTTTTATCTTCAGTGGGATGGAAGCGCCGTGTACCAGGAACCAGGATCCCAGAGTTCTAACCCAGTTCTAACATTGAGCACATCACTAGATTGCATGCCTCAGTGTTCTCATCTGAGAAATGGGAAACTGTGGGTATGATGATTGTAGTAGTTAGTCTCTCAGGTCTCTTCCATCTCCACAATTGATCCCATTTGCCAGTCTTCATTACTCCTTATTCTCTTCAGGTATCACTGTCTTTATTTTTCTTTTCGTTTGTGAGAATTTAGTCAAAGGGAAGATATCATGTCAGTCACTGATACAATAGGATGAATTTAAATAATTGTCTCACCTCTCTCCTTTATATTTGTATTGTCAGTCTTGCAAAGGCTTGATTACTTATAAAAGAATTTTACCCATCAAAATTAGAAGATCTTTCAGGGCAACGTTCAAACCCTCCCCTCCCCTACACCAGCAGTTGGTCACTAACTCAACCTTGTGGTGAGATGAACCCTGTTGGGTTTTCTTTCTTTTTTTTTTTTAATATTTTTATTTATTTCTAGGAGAGAGAGAGAGAGAGAGACAGCGTGAGGAAGGGAGGGTCAGAGAGAGAGAGACACACACAGACTCTGAAACAGGCTCCAGGCTCTGAGCTGGCAGTCAGCACAGAGCCCGACGCGGGGCTCGAACCCACGAACCGCGAGATCATGACCTGAGCGAAAGTCGGACGCTTAACTGACTAAGCCACCCAGGCGCCCCCCCGTTGGGTTTTCTAAACTATATTCACTCCCAAGAAATACTTCTCAGCCCACTGACCATTCTTATAATCTCTTTAGGGCTACTTTGATGCCAAGAATCTAGGTGAGGACCACTCTGAGGATCCTGATGCCCAACCCTCCTGTTCTTGCTCCCAAAAGCAACCAGCAGAACTTAGAACAAGAGAAAAAAACAGATAATGGCTAGTAAGCTAATGATTACGATATCAGCAACTGTTATCAAGCACTGATTAAATGCCACTCTACTGAGCACTTTCGATAAAGCCAGGTTAGGTTATACAAAAAGTATATTTTCTGATAACATAGAATAAGACATTAAGCTCTGGAGGTGCCAACTCTTGCCCTCACGTGGGGCAGATTTGTAGTTTTGGAGAGGGAAGGGTGAGCAGGGAGCAGGTGGGGCTCAGGATCAGATGGTGGTGCTTCTAGGATCCATCTCACCAGCCAAAGGCAGTAAGTCCCCAGAAATGATCCTTTTCTTCTGGCCTTCCCCTCTGATGGGAGCAGAACAGAGAACTCTATTTAAATTTTGGAAGGGTTATATTTTTTCCCTTATTATTTTTAGAAGCGGAGATTCTTTTAGAAACATTTTTTTACAAGGTGCTGAGAAATAGATGCGAGGCCATATTTATAGTGTTGAAGAATTTATAACATTTCTATTTAGGAAGGGTTGAGAGTCTCTTATTATCTGATTCTGGCAACATCTCAAATTTTGTCTTTTGGGGGCAAGGAGAAACTGAGGCAAACAGAAGTAAGATACTTCCACAGAATCCTGCCAGGAACCTGAAATAGAGGCAGCTAGAGGCAGATACATGTTATTCCCATTCTTCTCCTCCGCCAAAAGCCGAGACAAATGTCTTTGTGTCCCCCATCACAAGTTCACATTTTCCTGAGTTTTCTGTGTGTCCTGTTTTACTTTGTCTCCTTTGTTCTTTCCCAGTTGTATATAGAAGAAAACAGATTCAGACAGGGGATATGACTTGCATAGGTGACAGTCCAGCCTCCATATGCTGCACTTTCCTTCACATGGGATTGTGTGCCCAACAGCACTCTGTTAGGATTTGAATGAACAACTGAGTAAGTGGATGGATGAAGGAATAACTTTATCTACAAGCCCCTGACATGGGTTTCAAGTTCCATATGTGCAATTGCGATTCCGTAGATTGACTGGTTTAACAGGTAGGATGGTAGACAAGAAGACCATTGGATTTACCTCTTCAACATGGTGACATCCTCAACTGCCACAGCTTATAGTTGTGCCTGAGAAGAGCCTTGGAAGAGGAGCCATGGCCAGTGTGGCTCAATCCTAGTTGGAATGGCCAACACTTAGAAGGTGCTGACTCTATGGTTGGCCCAACTTTAGGTGCTTTGACTCATTGAGTCCTCTCAGTAATGCTCTAAGGAGGGACTATTATTAGCCCCATTTTACAGATGAGAAATATAAACAGAGTTAAGTAACATGCCCAAAATGGTAGAGCTGGGATTTGAACCCTGGAGTCTATCTCCAAGACCTGTACTCCTATCACCACACTATATTGTCTCCCTAAGACCTTATCATAAGCTCATGTTGTGTTCTGGGTTCCTATTTACCACAAATAATATTTTGTGCACCAATAGACTCCTAGCTCATCTGGATAACCAGGAATCAATCTCTATGTTGTGTTCTGATTCCATTTTTTAGGAGAAAAAGAATGAGGATAAGAATGAAATGTTGTACCTGTACCTCATGATTATTTTAAGGAATAAATGAAGACAATATTTAGAGTCTAGCACATTGCAAACACTTACAAAACACTAGCTATTGTTGCTATAATTAATTTGGGAGGGATGGCATAGGGTAGCAGTCTCAGGAGCTGTCCTTTTGGATCCATGGGCTATCACAGTCCAGCCAGCATCAGCCCTCAGCCGATTTCAGCAAACACGTTTAGGGAGAAATGTAGGTCAGGTGAAACCATTTGAGATCCTAGGGGAGACTGTCAAGGAGTGTGGAGAGAATTTCTTCTCATGGTCCACTGCCTGTCACCACTTTCAGAAGGTTGCTTTCCATTCTAGAGTTTGCCCAGTCACTGTCCAGAGGTCTGGCTGACACTCCTTATATTAAGTTCACCTGCATAATGGCTGAGGTGGCACCAAGGCTCCTGAGACAATTTCCACATTCAAGGCTTGGAAGGACAATGGGGAAGCTCCATGCACTAAGCAACACCTGAACCATCATGGATATCATTCCACTTTGAATCCTCACCTGGGCTTGGTAGATTCACTAACAGCCCAAGAGTCAGGGCATAAAACTAAACTATGCCGGGCACAGAAAAGTTGTTTAATGTCCCATAATGTCTTTTTTTTTTTTTTGCCCATAATGTCTTCATGTCTCTTCTCTTCCTTCCTCCCTCCCTCGCTCCCTCCCTCCCTCTCTCTCTCTCCCTCCCTTTCTTTCTCCCCTTCCCTCCCTCCCTCCTTCTTGTCCTCCCTCCCTGTAACAGTCAACCTAATCCATTTGCTGTTGGAACTTTGAAGTAGAAACTCCTTCATATCCTGCTTCATTCAGTTTCTCTTTGTTTAAGAAATTTATACCCCACCTCTCACATTCCTCCCCCACCCCCAGTGACAGCCAGTCGGGTTCTGCAACAGCCTGTGACCCTGCACTGAGCAAACGGCACTGATGGGACCCAAATGGCACTGATGGGACCCATGAACCTCAGCACCACCTACTACCTAACCCCCTCCTCATGTCAGCAAGAGACGTTGCTGAGAATTAAACTTGTACATGGAATATTATTTGATATTTCCCTGAATGAAAGTTGATGCTAGAGCGACTTCCTTTTAGAATTTTAATTTCATAAATAATGATAAATCCCATTAATCAAGTATGTACATGCATTAAGTATGAATCTAAGCACTTTATATATGACATTTCATTTAATTATAGTCCTGTGAGGTAGATCCTATTATTTGTTCAGTAGTGATCACTGTCCAAAAGAACCTTTCTATCATCATAGAAAGATTCTTTTGGTATTGTTCAGTACAACAGCCATTAGTTATATGTGACTATTGGGTACTTCAAATGTAACCAATGCCACTGAGGGATCGAAATTTTAAACTTATTTATTTTTTTAAGTTTTTGAAAGTTTATTTATTTATTTTGAGAGAGAGAACATGCCAGTGAGCAGAGCAGGGGAAGAGAGAGAGGGATAGCGAGAATCCCAAGCAGACTCTGTGCTGTCAGCACAGAGCCAAATGCAGGGCTGGAATCCATGAATCAGGAAATCATGACCCAAGCCAAAACCAAGAGTTGGACGCTTAACCACCTGAGCCACCCAGGTGCCCCTTAATCTCATTTAAAGTAGCTACATGTGACTTGTGGCTATCATATTGGCCAGCACAGAAATATAGATTCAGATCTTCATAGCAGGGTCACCAATGTGTGTCAGATTGAGAGATTGCAATTTCATCTCTGACCCCATACTTTGTAAGAATCATTTCACTTCTCAACTGAAAATTGGCTGTGAGCCCAAAACATGCTCTCTGATTGGTGCTCAGAGCTCAGAACCCAGCCCCACTGTGGATCCTGGCCTGTGGCCATCCCAAAATGAAGTATCACCTCCCCAGATAACAACTTTCATCTTTTAAGTAGCCAGAGTGGAGTTTCTGAAAGGATTGTTTGCTACAAATGGTTCACCTTGGGATCCAGATGAGTTCTTCAGGAAAGGAAAGTGTTAACAAAGTAGACACAGGAGTGTAGGTTATGAAGGCAACAGGTGACAGAAGGTGACAAGGTGAACATGCCAGCAAACAAATGTTATTGAGCCAAAGAACTTTGATGCCAATAAAACAAAGCTCTCTAGCAAAAATAGTAAAGGAGTGACTGCCACCTGTGCCAGCCTGAACTCTGGCCACCCTCTGAATGATATATTTAGTCCATATCTGAATGCCAAGATGCTAAACCTGGTGTTCCCTCATCTAAGAGCAGCCTTCAAAATGATGGCAAGAATCACTCCAAAATATACCAAGTGATGTCACATTGGAAGAGACCCCTCCAGAGTTGATTGTAGGAGAATGCTTGGCTTGGTACCAGTTCACAAAGGGTAT